CCTTCCAATCAACTTTTTCTTCGGAATGGTAAGTCATGTCACAATAAATTAACAAAAAACTCGAAACCAAGGGAGGTGCCCGGCTGAAATTCTACCTTTACATCAAACTTTGCGAGCTCATTGAGGCATCTCATGTTTTGGTTGCTTGCTTTGTGCTTGCCTTACATGAATGTAGATGAGTGAAGTTGGTGTATGTAAGGGGATGTGGTCGCAGCTTTTCCTTATATTAGTAAACTAACGTATGATCCTGTAGTATTGAGGCTTGCTTTAGTTTCGTGTATTTGTGTGTGTTGTGTTGCACTACTTATGAGTCAGATGACAATTTCGAGCCAAAATCATACTCTAGATTAATCAATCCTTTTTTTCTTTACTCGGTGGCTCTTTCTGTTCTTTCTTTCTCTATCTCTCTCATTCTCTCAGTTAGTCAGAGCTATTTTAAGCATGATTTTCTACACTCATTCTTCTTATTTAGGAGGCCCTTTACTTTCTTCATTTCCATCGAGTCTAATTTTACACTTCGTTGTGAAATCTCCATATCCGGCAAAACATGCCTTAGAATTTATGCTTGTTGTGTAGCCCAAATGAGAAGAGTTTGTATGTAGTCCAGTACAACGTATTATTATTTGATACTTTTGTCTTGGGCTAGGTTAAAGGCAAAGTCTAGGCTGTAGCTAGTCATGGGGCAAGGCATGAGGATGAGATACATGCAATAGAGAATTTAAATTACTAATCAGGAGTTATTCTCAATTTATCATGTCCGAATCTTCTGCCACTTCCTAATATACTTTTAAGGTAATCATTAAGAGCCGTAATTTCATTCCGATGAATTCATCCTTTGCTTTATTTTTTATTACATTTGTTCTAATTATGCCTATTTTCTATCTACACATGATTTCAGTCTTCTGCTTCTCTATTTTTTACTCTTCCCTATATGCAGCCCTGGAACGACTCTGTCCCACCTGCCGCTGTTTGTAATGATTCAGAGACTATAATTGAGGCCGGTACTGGCACTTTTCTAAAATCCAAATTGGAGTCCGATCCTACACGGAAGGTTGGACCCTACACTAAGCAGCGACTGATAGAAGATGAAGTCGTGATGAAGGGTCGAGTAAGCCTCTGCGCTTCTAAAATGTCTATATAATTGCCAGCATTACACTCATCCTGTGTGATATCTGATGAATTTTCCAATAAGTGGCTACCTATTTAAGTTCATATAATTTTAACGTTGATTTGTTTGCTTTAAATGATCCTGCCAGCATTCACTTAATAAATAGTCTGTTTTGATACTGATCCACTTATCTGGCAAATCAGATATTTTTCATGTTACCATATACCCACGATATTGAAATACTTTTGACGTACGGATTAAAATCTTTATAAAATGTTTTCCTCCCCTATTTTTATCTTCGGCAAAGCTAGTTGGCTTTGTAATATGAATTAATATTAGTTTATCTAGTTAGCAAGCAAAAGTTATGTCAGGCTTTCATCATGGTTACACACTTAATTAAGTCTAGTAGCATAACCTTGTGGTCCTTAGTAATTTAGGCCGCCTAGCTCTGCCACTAGATCAAATTTAATTCCAATTAGATTAAGTCGAGTTTATCTCAATCAGCCTCGATCATACAATTTAACCATTGTATGGCAACTTGCAGATTGACTTTACCTTAATGGTGCTTTATATGCTTGATTACAATACTTTTAGGCCTCATACCTAATCCATATTTTCCATCTTCCTAATAAGAGCAGTCATTTACTACTTATTAATTCTCTCAATTTCAAAATCATGATTCTAGCGGCAATAGGATACACGGACATTGTTTAAATAATAGAAGTTAAATTATCTTTCGAAATTTGAAGTACCTAGAAAATAAATGGAACGCATAATTGAAAGCTTTTCGGCAAAATCTTAGTGGATAACCATTAAGTCCATAAACCTCGTGGTTCCATAGTAAAAGGCCTTAGTCCTTTCTAAACTATAGAACAAATACACATACACTATTTCTTTTTATAGAAGTTGTTTGATCTTGGTTTCGCAACTTGGTCATACTAGCAGGATGATATAGAGGAACGCACCTTGTCCAGAGTCCATAGTATGCATGATCGTTTCCAGAGTCGGCAATGTACCAAGTCCACGGTCCGAATCTGGAAATGATCATGCATACTATGGACTCCGGACAAGGCACGTTCCTCTAGGTCATCCTGCTAATATGACCAAGTTGCGAAACCAAGATCAAACAACTTCCATAAGAAAAATGGATAATTATAAACTCCTTATTTATATCTCTGAAATTATCTTAATTTCTTTACTGGTTTCCGCGAGCTGTGCGGAAATCAGATCTGAAAGATGGGATCATTGACTCAATAGAATGACTCGTTTTGATTCCAGATTAGTATGCTATACATCATTATTATTCTCATCTTATTTCAAAATTTGTTTGGAATTAGCTAAATATCGCAATCGATAACCACAGTTTGTGTACTTTATGCAATACCGGCTTGAACATATTTC